TGCTTGGGGGTTACTACCATCTCCTTGGGTGTTGTGGTCCCTCACCAGTGTCCAGCAGGTGCCCTAAGTGTGGGGAGATGGGAACTCCACATCCTCCCCCGCAACCATCTTGACTCCACCCCTGATGGGAGCACTTTTGGGGACACCAGAATCCCTGGAATTACTTGACCCAAGTAGCTGGTCTCCCCAGCATAAGAGCAACCATGTCCTGAGCCGACAGCCCATCTTGCTTGGGTCCTCCCTTCTCTCAACCTTCCTCACTCCCATGCTCACATCTACAGTCACACTTGGATGCTTAAGGCCCCTGCAGAATATATCAAGACCAGCAGTCTTCTCACAGTCCCCTGGGGCATATTCATCTAGTTAAAAACAGATATTGAAAAGATTCATAGTGATTAGTGGTTTTAGCTTTGTTTCAGTTCATATTTCAGATCAAGAATTATTTGAAGATCTAGTTCAGATGGTAGTTCAACTGAGAGGTGTGTGAACAAAGAATATTGCCTGCCACTTCAGTTAACAAAGGATGTTGTGACCATAAAGGCATCAGCCACTGCACCCACCCTTCTCCCCATCCCCACCACCCCACCCTGCCATAGTGTATCCTGAGGGGAATTCAGGAAGGAGAAAAACAGGATTCTGGCCTTAGATAGTTAAGGTGCATATCAAAGGGATAATTTCAGTGAGCCCAGACTGTTGCATCTTCCCATACATAGAAAAGCAGTAAAATCATTAACTTGAGATGTCTGTTTTTTGGGATTAGCAGCAATCTTTTGATGTCCCACTACACAGTTTTATTTCAGCAAAACCTCCAATATATCTTGGCTCTTCCCTATCGACTGAAAACAATGCACAATGTGAGAGTTGTGAGTTAAGTTTTATTGGGCCCACAATGAGGACTATAGCCCAGGAGACAGCATTTCAGATAGCTCTGAGAAGCTGCTCCCAAGAGGTGGGGGGAAGGTCAATATATATGTGATTTTGGTGAAGGGGAAGTATGTGCAATCAAGCACATATTTTTTACAGAAGCTTTCTGCTAGTCCCACGAAGGTTACTGCTAGTGACAAGGAGCAGACGTCACCTTGAAGGATTTTAGTGCTTTTCTGGTTATGAGGAGATACAAGAATCGGGCTCATAAAATCGTCTCTTGAAAATATCTAACTATCTGAAGACTTGTTCTGCCAGTTTTTCCAGAGTACAGAGGGCCTCATTCCTGATATCCACACTGAACTCCTTTCAGGGGATGTTGAAGGTCAGCAGCTGCAGCAGCTCATAATTTGATCCTTGTAAAGGTAGGTGGCAAGTGCCAATTTGTAGGTGACATCACTTATCTCTTTGGAACAGCCCCTCAGAGACATCTGAGAGGCTGTATCCCAGGCTTAAGTCCTCAGTAAGTCTGCCCAATAAAACATAATTCTCAGCTTTTAGCTTGTGCATTTTCTTTCAGTCTACAGTTGCTATATCCAGTCCACAAAAAAGAGAACCCCACACCCTCCTTCTGTCTTCCTGGCCCAGGAAGTGAGTGGGGTGAGGAGAGGAGGGCAGGGTGCGAGGGCTTGGAACCTGGTGGAAACAGTCCCCTGACCTCCCCTTTCCATGGGGGCGGGGGTAGTTGTTGCTGGGAAGAACTGACCTCCCCAGGGCCTATGTTGCCCATAGCCTTGTGTCCAGGTGGTGCCAAATAGCAGCTCAGCTCAATGGAATATGAGCAGAAGAGCTGCCTGTCACTTCCAGGTTGGGACAGTGGAGATGCAGGTGGGAACCTGGGGCTGGAGTAGAGTGGATTCCAAGGAGAGTGGGGGACCTTGGGGGTCTGAGGGGAGAGGGCTTCTATCTTGACTGGAGGAGTGGTTACTTGGGCACATTTGTCAAAACTCATTAGTTGGTACACGTACATTTTATTGTATGTAAATCATACAATATATGAATGAAGCTAATTCTAAAAAAAATAAAATAACCTGGGAGAAAGAGCTTTACCAACTGTAAAGAGCTGTGAAAATCAGTGATTCATGATTTGTCCAACTGTACAATGTGAGTATAGAATTCTGTGGACCTCCTCAGATACAGGGTTTATACTGGAGCCCAGGCTGGGACTAAGGAAGAATTGGCAGCAAAGGGCTTTATCTGGGTGGGAAGTCCTAGACCCTGCCCAGAAGACAGGAATCCAGAGTTAAGTGTGGACAGCCAAGGAAAGGAATGTAGACATTGAGCAAGAGTGGTGCCTTTGCCCGGGTGCCTACTCTGGGTGAAGAGGCAGGAGCAAACAATGCAAATAGAAGTGCATAGAATGGTGTGAATTACTTTCAATTACAGCAGCAGGACAGAGTATTTGCCCTGGCATGTCCCTACTACTTTTCCATTTAAACCCCCTCCCTGTACTGTCTTTCCACTGTCTTTCTACCTGCACCCTACAGTCTGAGAACCTCCCAGACTGGAAAACCAATCCTACTCCTACTTCTGTGCTTACCTCTGCCGTGGCCCTTTTCAGCCCTCGGTCTAAAGCCCAAGTCTTTCCAACGTGTGGAACCTCCTGGGATCTAGCCCTGCTCACCTTCCAGCTGCCTTCCCAGTCCTCATCCCTGATTTCCATTCCTGTGTGACTCTTTGCAGTTCCCCAAAAGTACCAGCGGGGGAACTTCCAGGAGGTTCTAAGAACAGGTAAGCTCTGGTGGTGCCCTTGGCTGCCTGGAGTCAGCAGCCACGTGAAGATGTAAGCAAGCTGTGCTGTGGCCTGTGCAGTCATGGTGGCAGTAGCCGTAGAGATCTGGGGAGGGGATGAAAAGGGAGAGGGAATCCTGAGACATGGAAGCAGCTATAACTTTGGTGAGCTCAGCATGGTCTGAGGGAAGTGGGCCAGGGCTGCACCTTCCACATCACTCTTTCTGGTAGTCCACCCTCTCCCTAGAGGATGGGGAGAGCTGCTTTCAAACTGGAGTCATCTGCATAGACTAGTATTTACTCCTTGACAAGGGGAACTATGTTGGCAGCTCTTACAACCACAGGCATCAGGCATTATCACTATCTCTCTAGTAGTAGTGGGAAACTGAGGCACAGAGAGACGACATCTGTTGCCCAAAGTTCCAGGCCTGAAATTTGAAGCTATGCCTCTAGCTCTAGAGGCCATGCCCCTTACCACCAAGCCATACTGGCTCTGATCCTGGCACCTCGATCCTGCATGCGGATAAGCTATTTCCTCCCAGGCCATGTAATTGAGGCCTGGCCCCTGGGGCATGCTGCATGGTCCTCTAGACTCTCTGCATGTCAGCAAGCTGGATGCAGAACAATTAACTAAGAGCCCAAGAATCCCAGAGGATGGGAGAACCATGGAATAGAAGGAGTCTGGCCCCTTCCTCACTCTCAGAGGGGAGCTGCCCAGGACAGCTGCCCAGTCAGGAACAACCATATGGGTTTAAATAACTGAGAAATCAACTTTCCTTGTATTAACCCCCAATGTTGTTGTTTTTTTTTACTAAGATATATTTGTTACAGCAGCACACCTTAGCTTATTATTAGTTGCAAAGGAGAAAAACAGTAACTTTACAGTGGAGAAACCTGGCAGATATGACCTTAACCAAGCAATCAAGATTAACATCACCAGTTGATACGACATATCAACATCATGTAACTCCTGATAAGATGCACTGGGGCTCTGTACCCATGTTCCATTTCATGCAAGGCTACAAGACACATCATTTCTGTGGGACTCTTGCCAAAAAGACATAGCCTCAGTCTTATCATAAGAAAAGTTCAGACAAGCTCAAATTTCTGAAAAATAACTGGTCAATAAAATAAAGACTCCAGAACTATCACAGAGTGTGGGAGACTGAGGAGACATAACAACTAAATGCAAAGAATTGGATCCTGGACCAGAGAAAGGACATTAGTGAAAACTGGCAAAAGTCAAATGAGGTCTATTAGTTAGTAGTATGGTTTCAATACTAACTTCCTGGTTTTAGTAATTGCAGTGTGGTTATGTAAGATGTGAATGTAAGAGGAAGGTGGGTGAGAGGGTACTAGAACTCTCTGAACTATTTTTGAAACTCTTTGAGAAATCTAAAATTATTTCAAAATAAAAAACTAAAATAAATAAATGAAAATGAATGTGGTAATGAGCTACCATCAGATGGCCTTTCTGGTGGCTTTGGTCTTAATCATTATCAGCAAGCCTGGACAATAAAGACCCACACTGGGTTACACCTTTAAAAGTTTTTATTACAGAAAACCCCATTCTTCCAAGTCCAGCTCAAGGCCCCCCTTATTTACTAAAACTGGGCTTCTGTGCATATTGGATTGAATGGTTTTCTTGCTCCTTGGGTATCTGCTATGGAGTTGAGGACTCTGCCTTTGATTGCAGTTCTCTGAGAGGAGGGGCTGTGCCTCTGTAGCCATGTTCCATTCTGCACAAGGCTAAGAGACACCTAGTCAGCAGGGCACTGACAGCATTATGCCCCTGCCTGGGAGGTTAGGCAGGGGAATCTGACAACTTTCAGCAGCCCCTGTGCACCCCCTTTGGGTCTTGTGGTGACAGTGTCCTAGACAATGTCACTGTGGGCCTGAGACTACAGCCAGTTCAATTGCTGAAGAGCCAAATATCAGTGCTGGGGTCAACACAGGGCATTATGGTTGGGCCCCCCCCTGAGTGTGAGGATGGGGGCAGTGGCATGTTGATCCCCAGAAGTACAGGGCTGTAAGCAAAAGATGCCAGCAAGGTGGAAGGGTCTGCTTCTCAGAAGCAAATTAGACAGGGATCAGGGAGGTCCTGAGAGCCCACACACAAAGGTACAAAGATTTCAAAGGCGAGTAACTGGGAAGTGGTGCTGGACAGTGGCTTGAAGGAAGCCCAGCCCAGAACATATCAGGACAGATTTGGTCATTGAATGAACCAATGCTTTAATAATAAAGAATAATGTGGCTATCACAGGGCATTACCTGGAAGGCTGTGACTGCTACTGCTACTCACTGAGCAGTTAAACAGGGGAGGGGAGGGTTTGAGGGTGCAGATCTCAGAGCAGCAACCTCAGCAGGAGAAGGCTGACAAGGGTCAAGGGTGTGGAGAAGACTTTAGAGCCAGTGTCACGGGTGGTGCTCAGGGGAGTGGGAGTGGGTGTTGAGGAGGCGTCGGAGCTGTCTACACACTCAAACTTTAGGAAAGTGACTCCTCCAACCGTCGGATGTTCAGTAGCCAGGAACTCACAGGTGGAGCTGCTGACACTGGAGCAGCCTTTCAGCACGAGCTTCGTCTCTGTGAACGCAAAAGAGACAGTAAGGACTTCACAGCCCCTTCGCCCTTCCTCCCCAGTCTTCTCAATGAGCTGCAAGAGCTGAAACAGGTCTGTTCCTGACATAGGAGCTTGGAAGAATGAGTCCAGGATCAAGAACCCCAAATGGTAATGGCAGAGTGGCTGTGGAGGTGAGGGCCTAGATACCCTCTCCCAACCAGTCCTGGAGGAAACCGAGGCTCCTGGAGGTGGATGCGAACCTGAGCTCACGGGTTAGGGCCAGAGCTGGACCTGGGACTGAACTCTTCAGTGTTTTCCTGAGTAGCTGGCAGGTGGTGAAATCCAGGGACAGGATCAGACCCTCCGTAGTCCTCTGCTCTCAATCCAGAAGTGAGTCAGCACTTCAGACCTGCTCCTGGCCTCCCCTCTTCTAGGCTCTGCTTTCCATCCCCACTCCTCTCTGGACCTGAGTTCTCTCTACCTGAGTTTTCCCTGAGAAGAGGGAAAAACAGCCAGAGGGGATGCAGAGAGACCCCTGTGTCTTAACTCTAAATCTGTGTTTTAATGTGTTTAACCCTGTTTTAAGGTGCAGGCCCTAGGAAAAGACAAGGGAATTTGCAAAGAAGATGTGACTGTGATTACAGCTGCCTTTTACTGAGTACTTACTATGTGCCAGTATTGCTCTGTAGGCTGCAAGTCAAACAGCCCTGGAGGAGAGGCAGCTCACAGGGGAGGAAGGGGCCGGAGGACGTGACTGGCTACTTGTTAGAGGCAGGGCTGCAATTTGAGTTCAAGACTGACTCCATACGTGCTCTGAGGAGGAGGGGGAAACCTCCACATCCCAGTAAAGAAAGCAATTCATTGCTGCTTTAGAGCAAATATCAGTGCTGGATGGTGAATTAGAGTGTGTTAGGAAGATGTGTTGCCTGGCACATGGCTACAGTATTTTTTTTAGCATCTTTATTGGCGTATAATTGCTCTACAATGGTGTGTTAGTTTCTGCTTTATAACAAAGTGAATCAGCTCTACATGTACACATATCCCCATATCCCTTCCCTCTTGTGTTTCCCTCCCACCCTCCCTATCCCACCCCTCTAGGTGGACAAAAAGCACCAAGCAGATCTCCCTGTGTCATACAGCTTGGGCAAAAACAAAAACAAAATCCTACATTTATGATGGCTTTGATCTGTCTGGCTTTCAGATTAAGTCAAAGGTGGCACAGTGGTTGAGAGTCCGCCTGCCGATGCAGGGGACAAGGGTTCGTGCTCCGGTCCGGGAAGATCCCACATGCCACAGAGCGGCTGGGCCCGTGGGCTGTGGCTGCTGGGCCTGCGTGTCCGGAGCCTGTGCTCCGCAACGGGAGAGGCCACAACAGTGAGAGGCCCGCGTACCGCAAAAAAGATAAATAAATAAATAAACAAAGCCTTTTTTATTTATTGGTTTTATATTGTATGATGGTTAATCTGTATCTCATAATGGTTAATATCAAATTACTTTTGTAGAAAAGAACAGTTGGTTGGATATTTTTTTTGAGAGAAATCATCAGTATTGTTTATTTTCAAGTTTACAACGACTTTTTTTTAAGTATGAAATGCTGTATTGTTTGTACACCACCACCACAGGGGAATAGATCATGGCTAAAATGTTAATAGAATTTTTTAATTTTGTTGTTGTTGTTGTTCTTTTTTCAGTTGGTTGGATATTAAAGCCCCATTTGACTCTTCCTTCCAGGTGACCCAAGCTGTCATAATCCAATACCTCTCAGTGACATGCAGAGAAGAGAAGTGTACATATAAAAGGAAATAAAAGTCAGACCCACCCATACCTACAGAACAGCTCACCCTAGTAAAGAAATAAATGCCAGGAGTGACATGATGCCCTTAAATGAGCCTGGCTTGATTACAAGCCACAAGAGAACAGGGTTCAAGAGACTGACAGCCCAGGAGGAATGAAGTCTGGACTGAGGTGGCAGAAATAGCAACCAGCTCAAAGCTACATTAACAGCCTCACTATCTCAAAGGCATCCTGACCTTACTCCCTCTTCTTACTAACCTCCTCCAGGCCTTTTTTTGTTAATCCAGAATTTATGATCCAAGGCATGACATGTTTTAAACTTAAGTCCCATAAAAAGGAAATGACATACCATTCTTAAATTCTGCGATTAGATTGACACATCTTTCTTCTTTATAACATTTCCGGGTTGTCTCATTACAGGAAGTTTCATTAGATCCATAACATGCAGGGCACTCTGTGTTGCTGGACACCTCTTCCTGTGGGGGATCTGGGTAGAGTAAGAGTCATTAACTCAGAACAGTGTTATCACAAATATCACAGTACTGCCTTGGGTGGAAGGGGAAAGGCAGACAAAGACGCTAGCCAGAGAGACCTCTCAGCGTCTCTCTGCATGCTCAGGAATCTCAGATCCTGCCATAAAAATACCAGTCGTCCCATCCCATGTCCCACCAAAATATTTACAGCACACAACCTCACAGACCTGCCCTTACAGACCATCCAGTCTTCAAGAACTGTGGTCAGTGAGGGTGTTGGGATGAGGAGGGAAAGGTAAGATTTTGAGCTAAAACCAACCTATAGCTAATGTCAATGGTAGCCAGCTATTCTGAACATTAGCCAACAGGTGTGTGACTATTACTAAATCTAGCTCTGAACAAATGAACACAGGCCATTATTCAACAATGTGACTTGGATAAAAAAAAAAATTACATTGAGACTCAGCTCTGCTATTAATGAACCATGCTCTATGACTATGGTCAATTTTCTCCTCTTCAAAAAGAAGGCTTTGGGGCTTCCCTGGTGGCGCAGTGGTTGAGAGTCCGCCTGCTGACGCAGGGCACACGGGTTCGTGCCCTGGTCCGGGAAGATCCCACATGCCGCGGAGCGGCTAGGCCCGCGAGCCGTGGCCGCTGAGCCTGCGCATCCGGAGCCTGTGCTCCACAACGGGAGAGGTCACAACAGTGAGAGGCCCATGTACGGCAAAAAAAAAAGAAGGCTTTGATCTAAGCCAACAGTTCTCAAATGGTGGTCCATGGACTCCTGGGGATCCCTGAGACCCTTTCAGTGAGTCCACCAGGTCAAAATCATTTTCATGATAATACTAAGATGTTCTTTGCTTCTTTTACTCTCTTTCTCTCATGAAAATACAATGGAGTTTTCCAGAGGCTACATGACATGTGAGATTGCAACAGACTAAGAGAACAAGCAAATCTGAGAACCCAGCTGTATTCTATAAAACCAGAAATTAAGGAGCTTTGAGAAAACATGGATCAATGTTATTCTTCCCACTAAATATTTTTTGTTTTGAAAATAGTTATTTCTATGTAAAAACAAATGTTATTAATGGTAACATGTAATGAGTTTTATTATTTTTTAGTGAACTAATAAATATTTTTTAAATTTCTTAGCCTTATTTTTAATACAGTTAATATTGATAGATATAGTCCACAGAAACAAATGTTATTTGGAGTCCTCAATAATTTTTAAGACTTAGAGTCTTGAAAGAGGTCCTGAGGCCACACAACAATTTGAAAGCTACTAATGAGCATCTAGTACCCTCGCACACATCTCGGAGTGCTGTGATTTCTGTCTTCACTGAGAAAGGGGAAAGCATGGTAGTAGCGCTGGTTTTCCTCATTTGTTTCTCAAGTAGCTGTTGTATGTCAGCAGTTAACGTTACCCAAATATTCACTGAAGTGCCTAGACTTAAGATGTCCACCCAAGAGTGAGAACCATAGGTAGTGAAGGAAGGGACGGAGCAGGGAGGACAGAGGAAGGACGTGGCCAGCACCCACCTATGGTGTCATTGGTGTCATTGCACGCCTTTCCTTGGCAACACTGGCTTGCAAAATGGAAGATTTCATTAGCAGATACGTGGACTGTGAAGGTCTCAGCCACGCTGCAATTATCCACAGAGCAGGCCTTATCCTCGTACAATGTGATGTTTTCTCCTACACAAAGGCAAACACAGACTGTCAGTCCTGTGTACAGAGTGTTCAGGGAGGGCAAAGATCCTGAAGAGCAACTGCTTTAGGCAAGGGCAGCTCAATGCAGTTTGGGGGACACTGGAGAGGGTTTCCTGCAAAAAGAAAAATCCTTCTCAGTGAGGTGGTTCCTTTGTTTAGCAAGAGGTTATCAGAGAAGCAGCTTAAATTCCAGGTGAAAGGCTGATGGGGAGCTTAGAAGTGGGTGGTTCAGGCTGACACACCCAGAGCCCACTGAACAGTCTTAGCATCTAAATATAGCCAAGCAGATGTGATGGGTCTATGTGCAACACGATGTTGAAACTGAAGTTAATCAAACTTCTAGACCAGAGCTATCCAATATGGTAGCCCCAGCTCTATGTGGCCACCTACAACTCAGTCCTCAGTCACACTAACCATATTTCAAGTGGCCAGTAGCTGCATGTGGCTACCATATAGGACAGCACTGACATAGACATTAACGTCCCTGAAGAAAGTTGTACTGAACAGCATGAGTGCAGTTTATAGGAAATACCAGGAGTAGGGGAACAAGTGAAATGACATCACAAAGAAGCAATCAAACAAAGCCAGAATATAAGACAGCTACAGGATAAATGGCCCCATTTCTCCAACAAATCAATGGGATTGAGCAAAGAAAGTGATATTAGTTATTATTAAACAAATTAGACACGATAGAACTAACAGCAAAATATGCAATGTGAGGATTTTGTTTGGATCCAAATTCCAATGCATCTACTATCATACATCTTTGAAACACTTGGAACATTTTTAAGGTGGCCTGGGTATTACAAGAAATTTTTTAATTATAGCTAATTTTCTTAGGTGTGATAATTGTATTGTAGTTATATAAAAAGGGGGAAAAAGTTCTTTTCAGAGATGAACAGCGAAGTGTTTATAGGGGAAATAACATGCTATCTAGGGTTGCTTTAAAATACTATGGGGAGAGGGTAAATTAGGAGTTTGGGATTAAAATATACACACTACTGTATATAAAATAAATAACCAACAAGAACCTACTGTATAGCACAGGGAACATACTCGATATCTTGTAATAACCTATTAATGGAAAAGAATCCATTTTCCTAAAATGGAAAAGAATTCATATATATGTGCGTCTGTGTGTGAATCACTTTGCTGTACACCTGAAACTAACACAACATTGTAAATCAACTATATTTCAATAAAAATTTTAAAAATAAAAATAAAATACTATGGGGAAAAAAATAGCAAAATGTTAATTGTTGACACAGGATGGTGGTTACATGGCAGTTCATTATAGTTCACTACCTGCTTTTGTGTATGTTTGAAATGTCCATAATAAAAAGTTTAAAATAAGTCAAAATGCTCTGAGAGAGAAGTAACAATTATGCCAGCAGAACACCCTAGAAGGAAGTCTGAGTGAAAATATGTTGGATCTGGAACAGGAAGGAACGCTGAGAAGAGGGAAAGGGGGGCAGAAAATGGAAAAATGAAAACACCTAGAGCAAATTGCCTGCTTTGTAATTTAGCTAAGAGCTGCCCCTGCTTCTCACATTCACTAATACAGGTCTAGCATGAAGTCTGAGTCAGGCGCCGCAATTCCAAGGAGCCACAGGGCTTGTCTGCTTACTTGGCTCTACCACTGTTACTGACTCCTGCATGCTGCTCCTCCTGAGAGGTGCCTTCATGACCCCCTCTCTCCTTGCACAGCCCAGCCTTAGCCTTGCTTTCCTGGCCAACCCCTCCAGCACCTGCCCTGTGCAAGTTCCAGAAATGGGAATGATGAGCATCCCCCAGGCTCACCTAGAGAAAAGTTCGCCAAGAAAGTGGTACAGCTGATACTGGCATTTGCGGGACACTCAGTGGCATTTCTGTCAACACAGGGGTCTGTCAACGAATTACACTGCACACAACTCAAGGATTCTGGGAAGACAAGATGTTCAGCATCGTCAACATTCAGGAGACATTTATAGAGTGTGCTCTGGCCAAAGCACTGCACTCACCTCAGGGTAAAAGAATAGCCAAGATGGCATCCCTTCCCTCTGGGGTCCCCCAAACTTTAAGCTGTGAGGTGGAGCCACCCGCATTAAGTTTATCCCCACTGTCCACCATTCCCCAGTGGGAAGACCCAACCTTGACCCACAGCACTGAGTGGTACCACAGGGGGCAGTGTGCACAGAGAGGTCTCATAGCCTCCACTGCCCACACCTTGACATGAGAGTTCACATGAGGGGATCCCAGGGCACCAAGAGTGAGAAGACCGTGGTGAGGTGGAAAAAGGGGTCTTCATTCCAAAAGGGGGCCATGTGGTTTCCCTCACCTACAGCTGCAACCGTGAGCATGACGATGATACCAGCAAAGAGGAAGCCCTTCATGGTGCTGGACATATGTCGTTGAGGACGAGGACTGTGGCCGCAGAGCCTTAAGCCAGAAGAGACACAAAGAGGGCAGTCTGGGGAATCAGAAGGCTGCTGGGGAGTGATATTCCCTAGGATTGCAATCAAACTTCAACAGACCCAGCCTGTCCTTGTGACAGAAGGAATCAGCATCCTCAGCTGGGAGCACCGAGCCAAGATGTAGATTCCACCCTGCCCTTATACCCACAAGAGTCTGGGTTTTCCCAATCCTAGATGCCTGCAAAGGCATCCACACACAGGTACAAAACACAGCCCAGGGCATTTCCTACAGAGCCACTATGGGTACAAAATGGGCAGAAAGATGACCGCCAACCCCACTGAGGATGGGGGACCAAGAAGAACGCTGGGCTGTCATGTCCCAGAGCATAATGCCCATCCTGTAGGTGGTATCTTGCCACATTCACATAATGCACATAGGAGCTCTGTCTCTGCCATCGCCACTCCAACAAGCAGGCACATATTGAGCACTTACTCTTGTTCCAAGCACTTATGTGCATTGATTCATGTAATTCCTCCACCCAGCAGGCAGGTACTATTTTTAGCATCACCCTCATTTCAAAGGGGAAATCAAGCCCCAGAGAGGTTAAGTAAAGCACTCAAAGTCAAGGTTGCACTCCTGGGAGGGGTTAGAGCTGGATTTGGCCCAGGCCTCTAACCACACTGACTCTAACACACTTGACTCCCAAAGCCCCGGACCTGGACACGCTCAACCTGCAGAGCTGCAGGCTTCAACCTGCAGAAGCCCCAGTACACTTCTGAATGGCCTGTCATCAATCTCTCTGCACATGAAAGTCATCTAATAGCTAAGGTTTAGCTGTATTTATTAAGATCCTGGGAGTTTGGGGTTAGCAGATGTACACTCTTATATATAGGATGGATAGACAACAAGGTCCTACTGTATAGCACAGGGAACTATATTCAATATCCTGTGATAAACCATAATGGAAAAGAATATTTTTTAACATCTTTATTGGAGTATAATTGCTTTAGGATGGTGTGTTAGTTTCTGCTTTATAACAAAGTGAATCAGCTATACATATACATATATCCCCATATCTCTTCCCTCTTGCGTCTCCCTCCCACCCTCCCTATCCCACCCCTCTAGGTGGTCACAAAGCACCGAGCTGACCTCCCTGTGCTATGCGGCTGCTTCCGACTAGCTATCTATTTTACATTTGGTAGTATGTATAAGTCCATGCCAGCTGGGACAAAGTGAAAAGAATTTTTTTTTAAAAAAAAAGTCTATATGTGTCTAACTGAGTCACTTTGCTGTACAGCAGAGAGTGGCACAACACTGTAAATCAAGTATACTTCAACTAAAAAAATAAGATCCTGAATCAGGACTCCTAGAATTTTAATTTGCCCGTGTATCAAACAGCATGGAAGGGAAATGTCTGGCTCTGCACTGAGCCCTTATTCATCATTAGCTCATTTATACTATGAATAGTAACCAGGAGCTACATGCGGCTACTTACCTTTGGATTCATTGAAGGAATAAAAAGGAAAGATACTGTTTCTCAGTCACCAGCCATGTTCCAGTGCTCAGTGGCCACATGTGGCTGGTGGCTGCTGTATTGGTCAGTGCAAGTATGGAACAAGTCCCAGGGCACAGTGCTGCTGTAAAGATTTTTGCCCACTCCACAGCTGAGAAAACTGCAGACGGGGGGATAATGGAAGCTGCACAAGCTCACCCAGCTTGTAAGATGAAAAGTGGGACTCCATTCAGGGTTCTTCCAGGTCCAAAGCCGAGTTGTACCATAATAGCTGCCACTTACTAAGGAGCAACTGACTTTCATTAGGGCGTTGCAGGCCACAGCCTGCATCTCACCTCACCACACCACATACACATGCTCCCCCACATACACACCACACCACACACACACATACATACACTCCACACCCATACATACACACACCACACACACACACACACACACACACACAAACACTATGATCCCCTAGTTAACTGATTAAGAGTGGGTGAAAAGAAAGAGAAATTAGCCCCAATGGAGGGAGACAGACAGCCCATCAATTATCTAATGGCCCCAATATTTAGAGATCCTAGGAGAAAAATTAAGTATGTTTGGTTTGAAGCTTGTGGCAGATGTTCTGTGCATTGCACCCTGCATCCCCCAATGCCCAGTCACCACTCCAGGCCCAGAACCCCAGTAAAGAGAGAGGTTCAGGAGTTGGGCCTCCTGGGAAGGGCCTCTCAAGCCTTGTAGGTGTAAAGGAAGAGGACATGGGAGGGCAAGAAATGAGGGTAAAGAGTCCACAGCAGCCACATCAATTAAGTGCACAAATCACCTCAGCCCTGCGGTATAGACCTGATGATTAGCCTCATTTTCAGAGGGAAATAATGGAAGCCCAGAGAGGTCAGGACCCTACCTAGGGACATGTAGCAGAGAGGTGGTGGGACCCAGGGCCCTGTGCACCACCTCTGCAGGAAAGAGGAGCCAGTGAGCTGGGGGGCAGGGCAGGGGCCCCATAGGGAAAATGAGACCAAGTACATCTGTACACCCCTTTGCAAAGTCCTTCCTATTCATCCTATTGCTGGACATTTTCAGCTGTCTGAGAGGGTCTTACCTTGATTGTTCTCATCTTACACAGAGGAGCAAGAGCTCACAGAAGCTGTGAGAAGGACACAGCATCACACACACACACACACACACGCACACACACACACACACACACACACACACACACACACACACACAGCAAACCCCAGCACCTCTCCACTCCAGCCTTCCCCTTCCCGGGCACTGCTGGAGGAGCAAGAGAATGCCAGGAGAATGCTCTGGACCCCAGCCAGCGCTGAATGCCCTTCCCCTGCTTTCAGCTTCTCCCAGGCTGGGCCCTGTCTCACAGCCCAGCCCCAGTCCCTTACCTTCTCTGTCTGGCCCAGAGATTGCCCGGAAGAAGGTGGATCCTGGCAGAAGGTTGGAGAAGGTGTGTGAGGGCCCTTATATAGCAGGTGGTTGCACAGTCAGAAAGCACAGTTGCCTACAGGGAGGGGCTTCTGGGCCAGACTGGGCCCTGCCCAACCATAGGGACATAGGTGGCTTAATCCTAGGCAGCTATGATGTTGGTCAACTCTCTGAAGCTTCCAGGAATTGGGAGAAACTTTGGTCAAGACCTGCCTTTGGCAAAATGTGCAAGAGAGCAAGGTGTGTCCCTGACACTGTCTCATGTTGGCTGTCACCCACAAGATGGATTCTATGACTGGTTAATGTGTCACAAGCATCCCCTTATCCCAACCTGGTAAAGCTGTCCCTTGATTAGCCCATTTACAGCTGAGGAAACCAAGGCACGTAAGAGAAACATAACAGATTTGCCCAAGGTTACACAGCTGGGACAGGGTCAGAACTCAGAATCAGGTTACATGGGGGTTTTGTGGCTCTGGAAGGGGTCTCAGGTCCCCTTGGGAAAGTGTTTGAACTTCACTAAGTCTCAGGGTCCTACAGACAAGACGAGGATAAACTCACTGTGTAACCTTACAGGGTAGAGGGACCACAAAGTCCCTGCCTGCAGGATGCCCTATGCACCTCAGTGAGGGATCTACAGCTACAGCTGCTGCAGCTTCCAACACCCCAGGCAGTTTGTCTGACAGTACTGTCAGGGCAGCCACAGTTGGTGAGAGCTCAGGTCAGCCCAGGATTCTCGCAGCCCCGCCCTCACATTGTGCTGTGTGTGCTCCTGGCTTTGAATGTGGATTTGAGTTCCCTTCCCTCCTGCTGTTCCTGCCACTTCAGGTATTCACACTCACACACACGCAGGCACATGCACACACTCATACACAATCTCACACACACATCACACACACGGGATGGGTGGGGAACTGAGGATTCAGGGGCTGGGGGTACACATCACACCAACACCTCCAGCCTACAGTTAAACCTTAGAGATTCCTGCTCTTGAAAATACTCCTTGTTCATTGCTGCTCACTCTGTGCTGGTCTGTGGCTGAGCTCTCCCTCTTTCCCCAGACTCATGCACTTATTCAATATCTTTGGATGACCCACCATGCATCAGGCCCACTCCAGGCATTTGGGAGGTATTTGAGCAAAGAGACAGAGACTTTGCCTTCCTGGAGTGTAGTCTAGAGGGGGAGACATGACATAAACAAAGTGATAAATAAGCAAATTACAGGGTAGATTAGAATGTGGTGACTGCTCTGGCAAAGAGACAGAGAAGAGCAAAGGTGAGGGATCAACCATACTGGGGGAAAAGGGGGCACATGATTCAATTTTAGATAGAGAGGTCTGCATTGGTCTCATGGTGAAGGCAAAATTTGGGTCATTTCTACAAGCAGAGCCTCTGGCCATCTCTTGTTTTCTCCTTTCTTCCTCTTCTGTCATCAGTCTGACTACAACAGCAATTTCCAAAACAAAGGTAGCTCTCTCCCTAACAGAATCCTATTCAGTCTTCACCATAGCCAGCTGGCAGGGCCCAGTGGGGGAAGTGAGAGCAGAAGCAGCCAATGGGATGTGGGTGGGGGAGCGTCTGAGGATAGAGGAGTTGAAGAGCCCACATACGCTGCCTTTGAGATAACAGCCCTGGGTGTGTGTATGGGGGGGTGGGGGGTGGCGGCGGGGGGGGTGTTGTGCTCCAGTGTCTAGCCAAGGACAGACAGTAAAATCAATCTGATCAACGTTAATTCTTTTTGGAAGGTCTGGGTCTGAATACAGACTTTGCTCCTCATGTCCCGTAAGTTACTTACTAACCTGGCTTGCTGGTCCTCAGCTTCCCGTCTGTAAAAAACGGAACACCAGACTGAAGAAACACCTGCTGATTATTTCATCCTGGAATCCTTACCCTGGTCCATTGTGGTTTTTTTTCCAGTGTCATCTAACAGTAATGCCATGGGGGCATTTGATCTCGTGTGATGCAATGGCAATCCCTGAGCTGGGCTGTGCGTGACCACTCACAGCAGGCCTGGGTCTGCCCCTCCCAAGGCCC